GTCTCAGATTGGTGTTGTATGAGTGATACCTTTATATAAACTCATTAATGAGTTTTTATAAATGTGTTATTCAATTTGTTGACTAATGAAGTCAAAATTTTGCTGAACTCCTAAATTTAAGGTGCAAGTGATTGTGTAATCTACATTTCTAGTTTTATGGGTTCCACGTATCAGAAAATGTTTGTGATATTTAATGTATTAAGAAGTTCTAATTGAAAATAAAATGGTCTTGTGTTTCTAATGTCAAACATTTATTAATTATGCTCTGAGGTTTTGGGAAGCAATGCTTATGCCTGAAGCCTTTTTTGTGGGTGAAATAACTATTACTAAACAAATGTTTGTAAAATAATGGTCGCAGCTTCATTTAATTATAAATTATACTGCATTTAATATATTAAAACTAAAATTATCTAATTTGTATAAGAATATGATGAACACTTGTCAAATTGAATAAGTATAAAAATGTTATCGTCATCCCTTTGTCATTTGTTGTCACTCAGTTTTACCTACTAGGTTTTTGAAAGTGCTGTAAACTGAACAATTTTACATTTCTTTGTAATTTTTTCCTTCTGAAGGTTACTTTTTAAAACTAATTTCAATGTACTGTGTGTATCTATTTTCTGCAGAATGCTTTTGGTGGTGGCTACAAGAACAAGGAGTGACTTCATCAAGAGTTGGAGGCTAGATTTTACAAAAATAATAGCTATTTTATTAAAAAGATAGTAGAATTCAATTAAATGCTCCAAAAAGTGACTGTTAAAAATTTGTATATTATATTACTTTCATAGTTACCTATTAGGGCTTTATTTGTCACTGAAAGTATAATCTTTCAAGACACATAGTCCATTTAGGTGTGGACAATATATTTGCAAAATGGGTTTTTATATTTGAAAGTCAAAGCTGGTAAACTAGTCAAAACTACGAATACAGTAGTCCCTAGTGGATATGACCCCTCCCAATGATGACCTCCTTTTAAATATGACTTTTTTTCTGTACACGGAATGATTTTACATTGATCTGCCCTGCCATGACAGATGCAACATACGACCATGATTTTTGAGCGGAAGGTTGAATAATGACCTCTATAATCACTTTTCTTCAAAACAATAATGTAATTTACAGGGACACATGAATACAGTGTATACAGTATGGAACAAAGAGGTCGCATGACTAGAGATTGCATCACAGCTTAGTATGTGTATCTTGGTAGCCCCAGGGTGTTCAAGTCAAACACCTTGGTACATACATTTAGGTATTTTGGTTTAAAAGCTTTCAGGTCCTGAAAGGTAACCAGGGGTGGTAAGAAACTGTTGTTTGTCTTTGCCCTGCTTGCAGAATTAAGATTTTACGATGAAAGGAAGTACTCTGTCGTAATTAAAAGTAAACTTGATAAATCAGATAAAAAGAGTAAAATTTAATGAAAGTACAACGTTTCACCAGGTTAACCTGGCATCATCAGGTACATCAACGACCTGATAATGCCAGGTTAACCTGGTGAAATGTTGTACTTTCATTAGATTTTACTCTGTTTATCCGATTTATCAAGCTTACTTAGAATTAAGATTTATTCTTTTAGTGAATGTAATAGATTTTGAGTTAGTGGCCTAAATGTTAAGTAACTTGATTAGGATTTACTCGATTAATCTGTGCAGTAAACATGGCTAATAAAATGCCTTAAGGCATCTGGGAAAGCTGCGAATGTCTCAAGGTGAGAACAGAAAGTTATGAATAAGGAGGCTGGAAGTGTTGATATAGAAACATGATGTGGACAACAAAATAAACGAAACATAGAAAGTATTGAATTTTTAGTCAACTTGAAATTGTTTTAATGTAACATATTACATTTTATGTAGTATTTTTATTCAGAGAGGATTACCTTATTAGGTATTGGCTAGAGTCTAGTAATAATTTAGTTCAGATATTTATTCTTATTTTTTTATTGGTTCTTTTAAGTTTGTGAAATGGTCCCTTTTCAGAGCTGGGATCTAAGGATCCAAGTTTTAAGGTGAAATTTTGGTTTAGGGTGGGGCTGTTTTGTTCAGTTAAGATACGTTGCTTCCACAGTTTGGTTCTTTGTTTAAAATTACAGCATTTTGTATAGATATACTATGGATTTTTTTACTTGCAATAGTGATAAATATGGGATGTTTTTTATTATGTTCCGTGACTCTGGTGTCCAATTTTCTTCCAGTTTCTCTGATGTAGAGTTATGGACATTTATTGCATGTTATTTTATAAATTGATACTAAAATCTTGAGCTGAAAACTAAAAACGAAACGCTTTTTGATAAAATAAGTGTCAGACTTGTGAACATTTAAAGCAACCCCAATAATTGTGCAAAACAAAGATGGACAATTTTTAATGAAATAAATTTTGCGTCAGTATGTAATATTTTATGTATGTAATAAAAATGTCATACATGGATGTTTATTATGAAATAAATGTGATTGATGAATGAATTATTTTACATAAAACAGAATAATTTTAAGATCTTTATTGAACTGTTATCCATCATTATTATTATACAGTGTACCAGTTTGCTATGTTATCTGACTACCTATACAGTATATAAAGCATTATGCTCAACCCCCTGGGAATAGCAACTGGCACAGCTTTAACTCAGTCGTTCGTTATCTGGTTATTGATCCTTTGAATAACAACTTCCTGTCAGATGCGACTTTTTGATCATGGCCAATAGGTCGGTTGTGTCTAAGAAGGACTACTGTAGAATACAATCCAACAAACAAAATAAAAACTGGTATGTATTTAAGCATGAAAGTAATCGCATTGAAAAAGTTCTGAAGTTATTGATCAGTGAATCAGTTAAGTGGTAGTCAGAAAAACCAGAATTGGCTAGTAAAATCAGATAACCAGTAAGCCAGTAGTGGCAAGTAATAATAAAAAAACAATATTTACACTTGAAACAATGCAAATTATTGGCTAACAGTGAAACAGTTATAGCCAGTAAAAACCAGTACCAGTAGTGAACTTTTAATGAGTAGTAAAACTGTGTCTACCAATGAACCAGTTATGGCAAGTAAAGGAATTATTAGTGGATCTGTTAAAACCTAAAGCTTTCTAGTAGTGATGGGTAAAAGCCTACTACTGTATTACTAAATGATAGTTCAACTGTTTAGTTCATACCAATTAATTATTAATAGTTGAGTAACTAGAATTTACAGCAGCACCATTGTTTATTGTTTTAACATCTGTGAGGTATAGATGGCCTATCTAATAAATTATTAGAATATTGAATGCCTTCAAAATTACTTTGATGGTATTTCCCTTCATTGTAATGGGTGCATTTTTCAGACATTAATGCTAAGTGGACAACTGATTATAAATAGTATTTATTTAAGATACTAGGAACTTGAGTCAGTGTCAAGTTCATACTGATTGCTAACTTGAGAGTGAGAATGTGAGAGGAAACAGTCATCAGTCACTGAATAACATTTTGTTAAGGTTCTTTCAAAAGAAAAATTACAATTACAAGGGAATTAGTGTTCAACTTCTACAAAAAAGTAATGAAAGGTTATTCAACTGACATTTGATAGAGTAGAACTATTTTTCTAGAAGATTTGAATGAAATTACAAGGATATTTGTTGGTTTGAAAGACTTTGTTGATTTTTTATTGCAGAATTTTTTCACATGGTGACACGGACAGTTTACAAACCCACTTTTAATATGTGAAGTGTAAGTATATGTCACAGTTTATTAGCAAGGTGAAAGTCCTGTTAGTGGAAAAGAATATCAAGAAAAGGAAGATAACATTTTATGAGTTACTTCAAATCTTCATGGTGAACTGTATGGTCACAGGAGTTGATGTGTATCAGTAAATCTTCAAGAGTGTCTTGATGTAGGGCTAAATTACAAATGTTTTATTAACATACCTTTTACACAGTCATGGTTTCAAGGAGGCAGAATTTAAAACTGGTTTCATTGACTTTTATGCGTAAGACAATTTCTGGGATGGGAATGGGGTGGTAATTGTAGTTTAAGAAATTATTTATGGATTGGAACTGCCTGTTGAGTTGAGGACAACATTTGAACTCTGCTAGTGCAGGTCTTCATCAGGTCAAACACCTAGAGTTGTAGGGTGTAATATAGAAGGAAGACACAGCTGAGAATGAGAGCTAAGGAGTGTGGTTCCTCAAAATGTAGAATGAGAATTTAAGCAAAGGTTACTGAAATAGTGATGTAAATAGCTCTAGAAGAGAGTAAGGAGTTTGATTACATTTGGACTGTATTGAAATATTTTCTTGTTTATTGTGTTATTTGAATTCGGGATCCATTGGACAGCTTTGTTGAAGAAGGCATGTGTCAGTTTTCATATTTGTTGGACAGTGTTAAGAATAGTATTCTAGTTATATTCTGTCAGGACTGATTTTTTTGGGTAAAGTAGTCCTTTACTTTTTGAAATATTGTTAATCCAGTTTCTCTAATGTATGTATTTCAATAGGAGCAATGAATCTCAAAGATAACATTATCTGTTTATATCTACAAGCCAAGTTTTTTCATCATATTCAACCTGATGAAGACCTTCTCAAGCATTTTGAAACATTATCTTCAACTTGACAGGCAGTTGTGGTCCATAACAGTTTCTAGGCCAGTGCAGTTTTTCTGCCTAACTATTTTCTGGATTGAAATACATTCATCCTACTTCTGAGTTATGTTTCAGAATAAATTAACTTGGTGGAATATGCAAGTGATGTTATACAGGTTGCTGGTTAGCATTCATAAAAATTATTTATATGAAGTAACTATCAAATTCTGTTTGTCAAAGTATGTCTTTTCAGTGTTATATTTTGTATATATTTTTATGGAACATATTACAATTGCATTCAGGCATGTGTGACGAATATTAAATATGGAAGCTAAGTATAGTTTCACATAGTCATTCCAAGTTTATAGTTATTCAGAATTTTTGTGTAAACTGTCTTTCAGGTAAGACAATGTGTACAGGTATTAAAGAGTTTGTTTGATTTTGATTAAAACTCAGGGCAGGCAGTATCAATTTGATGTATGTGGAAAAGCTTTCATACAACTTCCATGCGAGGTTAATGTAAAAATACCTGGAAAAGCACACTGTCAAATGGCAAGTGGAGTTTTGACAAATATTGGAAACACACTGAATCTTCTTGAAAAGGTTAGTGTTTCAGAGAATATTTAATGAATTATGTAGTTTCATGATTTGTAACATAAATGTAAATTTGATGTTTCGAACAATAGTATTTTAGATCTTTCTTTTATTACACTCTCCTCTTTCTTGTGTTTCAAGAAACATTTTCTATACATATTTTATATTACCATGCAAGTCTTTTTTGCTTGTAAGTGACTTGTTTGTATCATGTTCTTAACACCTTTGTCTGCAGAAACTTTTGGCCAAGTAAAGTGGTTGTCCCCTAGTTTTCTCTATCTCTCAGTTGCCCTCACCTTTTTTTATGCTAAATTATTCTTGCTGTAGCAGAACTATGTTTTATTAATTTTTTTTTTAATATAGATATCTCATTTTTTTCCTATTCTTTAACAGAGAGGGTACTATTTGCTGACCTTTTTGTGTGTGTTATTGATATGGAACATATTAATGTTAATGTAAACTGTGAAACTCCTGCATTATTTTGTTCTTCCATTTTCATTTTCAAGATTTGTTATTTTTTGTTATATTTACTTATAAGGCTCCCTTTAGGATTTAACATTGTCACTGAGTGAAATTACGTTATTCCAGAATCTTACTTGGTGGATATCCTTTCTGATAACAGGTTTGACACTTTTTTTTTTAGAATTTCACGGTGTTGGAATTTTTTTATTAATCTTTGTTACTTGGCTGATTTTGGAGACTTTGGTAGATTTCATTTCTTGTAAGTTGGGGCTTCATTTTGTCAAAACTTTTCTATCCCTGCTCCTTTAATGTAGGGTTTTACTTTAGTCTTATTTATTTTATATTTTCACATAACAGTGCTGTTCAGGCTGAATGAAAATACTGAAAGCTTGATGATACTAATTTATTTACTTCTCTAGATGTTTCTTTCCAGATCTAGATGTTTTTGTATAATTTTTTTCTCTGTCTCATTGTGAACAAATTAGTTACATTATTTGCCTTACCTTCTTCCACATACAAATTTGTCATGGGGTGTAACATTTCTTACAATATGTAGCAGCATTTGGGTTTCTTTGCCTCAGGATTATAGTTAATGATTATTTTGCTAAATTTTTGTTCCATATTTTTGTCATTGTGAGTCCGAATTCTTTTGCCAAGAATGGTAAATTTTCACAACAAAATTTTTCCTTTATTCCTATCCCTTCAGATTTTATTCTTGCAAGAATACTCAATTTTTTGCTTTTCATTTATTCTGGTTCTTTTAGGAGTTGGATTTCTTGTTTCTTTCATGTGTGGGAGCTCTTTTTCACTGTATCATTTTAATTTCCATATTGTGTGTTTGCCACAGACCCTTCCTTAAAATTTGTAGGTCATTCCTTTTCTCAAAGATTGGTACAAATCATTTGTTGTCCTGCTTTTGTGAGATTTCGTGGAGGATGTTATAGTTACTCTGTTCCCTCTGAATGTCTTGCATGTTCCCTTTTTCTTTAACAGTATTTCGTTCTAATTTCAAATCCTGTTTTCTTTTTGACGAAACAGAGTCTATCAGTGGTCTGTTTAATTTTCTAGCTGCTTGTTTAATGATTCAATTTATATGTTTGTCTTTTCTTTGGTTCTAAGCCTGTAGACCCAGATTATTTAATTATTTATTTTTCTGTGATGCTCATTATAGTGCTTGATCATGTTTTGAGATTCTGATGTTGGATTGTAAATGTATATGGTTGATTTTTTTATGTTGATGCATGCATTTGGGGTTTGAACCTTTGTCTCCTTACATTCTCTTGTGATTTCCTTTGTTATGTGTTTGATAAGAAAAACTTACTGATTTCAGCATTTAAAGGTTACTAAACTTCTTTTAGCCCTTGTTTTTATTTTGTAAAACTGAGATTTCTTTATACATTATCAAACATTTCCCATTCTTATTCCAGTGACTTTATCATTCTTGGAGCCCCCAGTGGCACAGCAATATGTCTGCACTCTTACAACGCTAGAAACCGGGTTTCGATACCCGTGGTGGGCAACGCACAGATAGCCCATTGTGTAGCTTTGTGCTTAACTTCAAATGAACAATAAACATCATCCTTGGATGTTTCTTTGGTATTGTATTTTTGACCGAGGTCCCTTTTCAAGTTATTTGTATCTTGTGACATACTTTTTGTCTTGGAAGACTGGCTTCTTGCTTTGACTTACCAACTGTAAGATATTTATGCTACCAATATTGTTTGTTGGTGATTCTTATACCCTAATCCCCATTAAATCTTATTGACACACAGTACAATCTATGACTTTCAGTGAATTTAGAGGGTCAGTTACTCTTTAACATATTATATTATTTGTCTTGTCTTTTGAAAGTAATTTATCAAATCCAATTCATCTCATTCCGTGAGGACAGTTTATTGTCCTCTTAATTCTTTCATGTTGGTCAATAAAGTTTTCACCACACCATTCTCCCTCTGTTACTGTATTCTCTGTGTTCAGTCTTATGAGATTTATTAGTTACTGGTTTTTTATGTTTACCATCACATTGTCTTTATTAAGATGAAGGAAATTTTCACAGTTTGATATCAAAGGTTCATTATTTGATGTATCTGATGTTTCACCTGTTTATAGCTATTTAAAAAAGAAATTCTCCTTACACCAGCTCAAACTAATTTATGTCAAGGTGGTATCTTCTAATGGCTTTCACATCATTCTTCTGTTGACATTTCTCTTTTTTTTCTGGTACTTTCTCTCCCCCTCTCTCTTGAATCTCTCTGTGATAACTAGTAATGTGGGAAATTCATTCACTTGGTGCCTTGAGTAAAGTGGAGGAAAAAGTCAGAATAATCTAAGATATAGCATAAGAAAGGTGAATAGCTTTGATTTTAGTAGGAGTAAGTATCTCTATCTATTAGTTAACCAGGCGTATAGACAAAGGAGGTATTGAAAGCATTGTAAACTTAGATACTAATAAGTGTTTTTCTTGCACCTATGCTGTGGCAACTATTCAAACTACTTTAGACTTAGGACATTCTAATGTTTAACAAATAACGTCATCTCAAAACAATTTCACATAAGGATGCATTTATCATAAAGGGATAAATATACAGCTTCAGTTTCATAATAAAACTAAATCAGAATCAATATCTGACAATATGCAAATGCAATTAAGCTAAGCTTAATTTCATACTACCAAAATAAGCTCTGTTCTGTTTTTGTAATATTTGATGGAGTTTTACAGTTCTGGTAGACATAGGCATTTTTTTAAACTCTCAAATTGATCACTTGTTTTTATACTGTACATTACCCATTATTCCATATATTGAGAATTTTATGTTTTTGTTTGTTAAATCAGGGAATGTAAAATATCTAACTGCAAAATTATTTTTTGTATAAAATATGTGGGGCTCCAGCTGTAGTTGATGAGAATAATTGTAATACTGATAGTATTATTTTCAGATTTTTTTGTGTGTGTTATTAGAGACTCTAACCCTCTTGCTATGGGCTCAGTGGATTACATTGGTCTTGTGACCTCAAGTGATTATCAGAGTTTCTACACTATAAATTTTAGTATACTTTATGTATCTTCACGTAATTTGGCAAGCTTTCAGTAAACATTACAAGTCTTTTGTTCACAAAAAATCAGGTTCTTAATTAAGTATTTTACTAAAAATGTATCTGTCAGAGTGTTGACTGCTCTGAGTGCAAAGTGATTTTCATGTTAGGATCAAAAATACTTTTTTCATCTGAAAATTTTAAAATTTAATTTGCATAATCTCTAAAAACCTCTTAAATAAACATCAAACATTTTTTCATTAAAACTTTTTATTTTATTTGTTATTTTCTTACCCTAACCCACTATGCATTTGGTCACTTTGACCGATCTTGTAACCATCATAAGAAAATATGAAATAAATCTAAATTACTCATTGTTTTTTTCTAGAATAACTTCAGATTGTAATATGAAATGACATTTATTTATCTTAAATAGTTTTAAACTCGTAACAATATACATCTGTTTATACTTAATTTTATTGTTTCAATGCCTTTTGAACCATAACTAACTATTAATCCTGCCACTTGGTAAATACATAGCTCACATTATCATATTGAATGATGTAATGCATGAGCTGCTCTCAATTATACCTCGTGAAGAATTTTTATTATTTTTTTTTCATTATCTTACCTAATCTAACTTTATCTAGCCTAATAAATTTCTTAGTTCTACATCTTAATTATTTATATAATAATTGTTACGTATTAGAATTTCAAATGGTCTGAAACTGAGCTAAGTGATACTTTAAATTTAGTAGGTAAATTGTATTTTGGATTTGGCAGTTAAGTAAAAGCCAATATATAGCCAGTAATGATATTTGCCAACAAGATTGATACACACAGTTTACTTTTTTAATACAAATACGTTTTAATATATATACAACAATACAATTT